TGTTCCACCTACTTCTGCTGTAAATGATCGATCTAGTGCGGAACCAAATATTTCGAAACCGGTTGTAATTGCTGTAAATTCCCAATCTGATTTTCTCTCCCCTGATGAGGATGATCCTCCACCAAAAATCCCAGCGAACATTCGTTATCTGTTAGATCGATTTCCTGAGGTATTGGCTGAACCCCGTGGAGTTCCCGAGCGTCCAGTCAAGCACAAAATCGAGATAATAGAGGGAAGTGTTCCTCCAAAGGGTTGCGTCTACCGTATGGGACAAGGCGAGTTGGAGGAGCTGCGGAGACAAATTGATGAGATGATTGATCGTGGATGGATTAGGCCTAGCAAGTCTGCGTTCGGCGCACCTGTTTTGTTTGTGCCGAAGAAAGAAGGCAAACTTCGGATGTGCATTGATTATCGTGGTTTGAACCGAATCACAAGGAAGAATACCTACCCTTTGCCTCGTATAGATGATCTGTTGGATGCGGCCGGTGGATGCAAAGTCTTCTCCAAGATCGACCTCAAATCTGGCTACCACCAGATTGAAGTTGATCCGAGCGACCAGCACAAAACTGCGTTCAAGACACGTGATGGGTTGTACGAATTCATCGTTATGCCCTTCGGCCTTACGAACGCACCAGCCACATTTCAGTCCCTCATGGACAAGGTACTCCGCCACCAACTTAACAGGTTTGTGGTTGTGTATCTTGATGACATTCTGATTTTCAGCAAGTCCATGGAGGAGCACGTCAAGCATCTCGAGGAGGTCTTTCAAGTCCTCAAAGACGCTCAACTGCACCTCAACTTGGAGAAATCTAAGTTTGGCAGGGACAGCGTTGTCTACCTTGGGCACCGGTTGTCTGCAAGCAGTCTTGAGCCGGAGGCAACCAAGGTTGAGGTCATCCGCAACTGGCCTCAACCGGCGAATGTACGCGAGCTGCGTTCTTTTCTTGGTTTGGCTTCTTACTACCGGAAGTTTGTGCCTAAGTTCTCTGTCATTGCTCACCTACTTTCACGCCTGACTAGTAAGAATGTTGCCTATGCGTGGTGTGAAAAGTGTGAGACTGCGTTCCAAGCCTTGAAAGAGGCTTTGGTGAGTCATCTTGTGCTCCGCATTGCGGATCCCAACCTCACGTTCGTAGTCACTACGGACGCGAGCCAGTTTGGGATTGGTGCAGTGCTGCAACAAGATGATGGCGATGGTCTGCGTCCGCTTGAATATTACAGCAAACGCATGCCCAGCCACAAGTTATCACTTCCACATACATGCGGGAGTTCTACGCCTTGCGCGAGGCGCTCACGCATTGGAAGCACTACCTCTTGGGTCGCCACTTCAAGGTCTATTCAGATCATCAGACCTTGCAATGGATTTAGACACAAACTGATCTCTCTCCAACTCTGGCCCGCTGGCTGCATGACATTGATGTTTTCAACTTTGAACTAAAACATAAGAAAGGCTGCTATAATCGTGTTGCTGATGCTCTGTCGCGCCATCCCGAGTATTTGACTTGCCTTGTGGACTCGTACGACCTCCGGAGGAAACTGAAGGAGGATCTGGTCGAGCACACTACCAAGGATCCGGACCTTAGTCCCATCCTTGAGCAGCTCAAGGCTGACCCCAACAGTCAGCCTGATTTTCATGAATGCGAGGGTTTTGTATTTCGCCGGTATGGAAAGTTTGACCGTTTGTGTGTACCCAACCATGCGCCTCTCCAAACTCACTTCTTGGATCTGGCGCACGGTCGGAGTGGACATTTTGGCTTTGAGAAGACTTATGGAAGTCTTCTGCAACAATTTGACTGCCCAGGAATGAAAGGATCTGCTCATAAATTTATTGTTGAATGTCAAGTATGCCAAAGGATCAAGGTTCACAGGCATAAGCCTTATGGCCTACTGAGACCTCTTCCCATTCCCGATGGACCCGGCGAGTCGATTTCCATCGACTTCACGGACATGGGAAAGGTGAGTGAGGCTGGGAATTCGCAAGTCATTGTCATTGTGGACCGCTTCTCCAAATTTTCTGAACTTGATTCCTCTCCCTCCTCACGCCCCGACTGAACTTGTCATAGAAGAATTCCATCAGCAGTACATTCTGCAGTCCGGCGTCCCGAAAACTATTGTGAGTGATCGGGACACCAGATTCATCAGCAAAGATTGGAAAGACTTCACATCTTAGATCTACGACATCAAACTGAACAGGACTTCTGGTCGACACCCCGAAGCCAACGGATTGTCTGAGGAGATCAACCAAACTGTCATCCAATTGCTTCGCGCACTAATTGTCCCAGATCAGAACACGTGGGACAAGGAATTGCACAAAGTGAAAGGGCTGTACAACAACTCCATTCACTCTGCGACTGGTGTAACACCAAACCATTTGCAGTATGGATGGCTGATGCGTAATCCCCTCTTCTATCTGTTCCCTGAACGGTCACCTGGGCTGATGCCCGGCATGCCTGGCTACAATGCCAAGTACGCACGCTTGCTCAAAGCTGCTACAGCAGCTATGAACAAGCGCCAGCATGCCATGATCAAACATGCCAATAAGCAGCGCAAAGAAGTAGGGGATTATGTTTGGGTCAAAATGTCTGAGTTTTCTGATGAAGAGGGCATATCACGGAAGCTTCTTCCACTGTACTACAGCCCTTGGCAGATTCTGAAGGTAGTCGGGGATGATTTCGGTCCTTCGTATGTGATTGACGTGCCTCCTCAYCTGCGCACGTATCCAGTCTTCCATGCCTCCAAACTGTTCCCACACATTGATGATGAGACTTTTCCCTTCCGTGATCCTATGATACCTCGCCCTATTGACGGCGGCCATGAGATTGACAGAATCGTTTCTCACGAGAGGAGAGGAAGGAACAGACAGTACAAAGTTCATTTCCTCTACCACCCGCTGAACGAATTCTTCTGGATCGACTGGAAAGAACTGATAAAGAGTGCTCCACGTGTTGTGAACGCATACGAACGACAAATTGTTGACGGACAGACCACTAAGTTTGCTGCAAAACTCACTCCGTTCGGACTCACTAACACTCTCTTTTTGATTTATGCCTATGACGCCTTCTGTGCCGACGCTGACTGAGTTACTCGCTCGAAGGGACCTTGCTCTCGAGAGGGGAGTAATGTAATGACCTGCCCAAAACACAGACTGAGAACACTGCTGATTTCTGGGATTTGCCAATGGAATGAATGCCTTGCTGTGATTCCCGCATTCTGTTGTGGTCCCAAGTCTGTGTGTGTGCGTGCCTGCTGGTTTGCATGCCTGTCTGAGTG